CTGCTTGGAACACTCCATTAACTCGAATTGCAATTTCCTCCTCGGCTCTATCGCTAAGCCACACGGGGCGTCCCCGGCCACCAGCTTTCCTGTGACAGATAAAGATTACAGTCATTGCTCGAGACGGAATCAAGGAGCAGAAGTCATTATGCAGAAATAATTACGTTGAGTTATGTCTGGTCGCTCCTGATTTCTGTCTCACAATCGTCTTACAAATGGTCCTACCTCTTCCTCTCCCGGAGAGCAAACTGCAGAGGCCTGGGAGATTCAAACAGACCTCTGGGCACAATTCTACTGCTCCAAACTCCTCCTGCCAGCCGGGGCGTCAGTCCCCAGGCAAGGTTCTCTGCGACACCCTTTCTTTCGCTGAGCACTTGGGACAGAGAAGAGGTTGAAGACAAAAGCCCCAGGGAAGGGGCACACTCACTGACTCACCCACATGCCCCCCTGCATTGGACCCTCCTCCAAAGCCCGCTTCACACATCACTTTCTCCGTGGGGCGCTTCCTGATCTCCCAGCCCTTGGCTCCCGTTAGGCCGAAGGCACCTCCCTCTCTTAGGTTTGGGGTTTCTAGGGAGTGACTCAGGCAGTGACCAGGTTTGACTCATTCTTGTACTCCTAGCTCCTAGCACAGAGCAAGCCTCAAGAGAGCAGAGAAGACTACATGGCTGGACTGCTTGGCTCAAATCCTAGCTATGCTGTCTCCTAGCTATGTGACACTGACCCGTTAGTTAACTTCTCTCTGCCTCAGTTTTCCAGGATGTAAAAACTGAGATGATAGTAATCCTACCGAGTTCATCAAGTTCTAGTAAAGATGAAACGAGCTAATATGCACACACACAAAATACTCAGCACATAGGAAGGAAGGGCTCGGCACACGAGGAAGAATGCAATAAATGTCAACAATGACTAAAAGAGTGGAAAGAGGCCTTGAAAATATTCTTGTAAAGAATCTAAGCCAATTAGAAAGACACAAACTACCGAAACTGACTTGAGAAGAAATAGACAATCTGAAATACCTATAAGAAGGCAACAGATGGAATTAGTAACACAAATCACTCCCAAGGAAAAGCCCAGGCCCAGATGGCTTCACTGCTGAGTTCTACAAACATTTAAAGAATTAATACCAATTCTTTACAAACTCTTCCAAAAAAACAGAAGAGGAGGGAACACTTCCCAACTGGTTCTATGAGGCTAGTAACTACCCTGATACCAAAAGCAGACAAAGTCTTCACAAGAGAAGAAAACTACAATGTCCCTAATGGACATAGATGAAAAGGAACAGAAACAAAAACAAAACTCAACAAAATGCTAGCAGATCAAATCCAGCAACATAAAGAATAAAAAGAATTATACATCGTACCAAGTGGGATTTATCTCAGGAATGCAAGGTTGGTTTACCATCTGAAAATCAATTAATGTACATTCAGTAAAATAAAAAGCAAAAATCGCATGCTCATCTCACTAGATGCAGAAAAAGCATTTGACAAAATCCAACATCCTTTCATGATAAAAACACTCAACCAACTAGGATCAGGTGCTTTGTAATTCTCTACACCAGAAGACAGAAGTGTGGAGAGCAGGCAGGCTCACAGGAGCAGGGGGGCAAAACACGGAGCTTCCAGGGGACCCAGTATGCCTCAGCACTTGTCACTGCAGCTGACCACGAGAACTCGGCAGCCTCAAATCCAGGCTGAGCTGAAAAACTGCCTTGAAGACCCCCACCCGCAGCCACTGTCCCTAGCATGCACTCCACACATACTAAGTGCCCGCAATGTCTATTAGATGCAAGGACAATGATCCCGCTTTTGAGGAGCCCACAGCGCAATGGGGTACCCTCAGGAGTGTGCCAGATATCAGGGATGGGCAGTCAAACACAAGGTCCAGGGATGGCTCTGCATTCAAGGGGCTGACCCAGTCTGCGAGGAGGAGGG